TATTTTTATTTTAGTTCAAATTGGTTCTATTGGATATTTGAATTTTTGGAGTACTTTCAGTCAACAGTGCTTCGATTCCGGTCATTGTAGCCTTAAAATTGCTCATTTTGTGTCTGGTGCTTGTAAGTAACGCGTACGACTCAAATATATAGTAGTAGTAGATAATAAATTTTAGTTAAATACTATCTACTTAAACCACTATAATTGTTATAGTTGTGAATGTAACTCTTGTAGTAAACTCTAGTCCCGAACACTAAAATTAAAGAATTAAAGCTTCAAAAAGATTAACATCAATCAAATTAATGAGAGAAATGTTATATTTTGGTTTAGTTTAGTTTGGTGTAAGTTGGTTTTGATTTGTTATTTTAAAAAAATAAGAAATTATTTTCATTTTTAGATTAGTTCGGTTTTATTCGATTTTATTCGTTTTTATGATTTCGGTTCGGTTTGGTTCGGTTTAATACGGGTTATGTGTGAATTATGCCCAGATATCAACACTCGAATAATCTAATAATATTGAAAAGAATTTAAAACAGTAGAAGATAAATTTCACCAATAACGTATACCGTGTATATAGAATGATGTATCCATGAAGAACAATTACACAGTACTCGAACGTATCACCAAGAGAGAGAAATTCTAGTCTACTGGCTCTACAGAGAATAATATGCGGAATAGAATGTGTAGAGACTTAGAGCTGATTTCGATCAACCCCTTCTGAATATATAGGGAGTAGTTCGGCCAGCCCTATTACAATTAGGAAACAACAGCTTTAGGCGTGTGGGCTTATTTGAGCCAGATTAAATGGACTTAATTCTCTCTCAGTTAATCTAATTAAAATACAAAGACTCATTAAGCAAATTACAATTAATTTGAACACAATAAAATAATATTCTAACAGGTTGGGGGAATACTACCAAACTCAAACCAAATTACAAATGGTTCAATTTCGGTTTGGTTTAATTCGGTTTGGTACGATTCGGTTCGGTAAAACCGAACCATTATGCCCACTCCTGAAAAAATCTTTGGCCCACCAAAGGCTTAGCTGGAGTATTCAGTCTCTGGCTTGCGAAGCAAATGCCTACCGACCAATTTTGCTTTGGCCCGTTATGTTATGTTTAGTGATCTATTTCGTGAATATATATATATATATATATATATATATATATATATATATATATATATATATATATATATATATATATATATATATATATATATATATATATATATGAATCCAAATGGATTATTCAACACTTTTCCTGTGATTCTGTATGGCTAACTAATCCTTATTCTTGACTATTCTTTTTATCGATCATTTAGGAATAAAAAAAAACCTTTCATGGTTGAATTGAATGCTTACTCTTTCAATATTGATTTCATCCTATATAGCGTGCTAGTGATGAAAATTTAATATTATTTGGCAGTTGAACCTCGTACATTTAGGATGTTTTTACTTGTATTGCAATTTGATGGTTTGGTCTGGTCTGTTTAAATCTGGTCTGATTTGATCTGTTTAAGTCTGGTCTGGTATGTTAAACGTCTAGTCTCTGTGTATTTTATAACTACGGAAGTCAAGTCTGGTCTGATCTGTTTAAGTCTGGTCTGGTTTCATCTGATTTGTTTAAGTCTGGTCTAGTCTGGTCTCTTTAAGTCGATATGTTCTGGTATGATCTGTTTAAGTCTGATCTGTTTTGGTCTGGGACCGAAAACTGTCCAAATAAAAACATCCTTACAAGTTCCATTCATTCGTCCTCATCCAATCTTAAGTGATGGTGCTCGAGATTTGAATTAATTTTACAATGGAGTTTGAATACTAATAAGTAATAGACGAAGAAATGAATTGAAGTCTTTAACCATCTTTTTAGGGCCGATCATGCTCATTTCTGAGTCTACTAACTTTATACTATTTTGGGCTTATACTCAGGACAAATCGTAAACTATACACCTTTAAAATATGAATTATAACAAAAATATCTAATAAAGGAAAATATCTAGAGCGGTCACCCTTGCTGTCCCGCTCAGGACCAACCATGCATCCTTCTTAGTCATTATTGACTTTAATTATGCTCCTTTAACTTTTTTCCTACTACTCCGTATAATATTATAATACTATATATACTACTCCGATTCCTCCGTCTCATTTTACATGTCTTACTTTCCTTTTTGGGTTGTCCAGAAATAAGTGTTACATTTCACTTTTTGGAAAGAAATATATGGTTCATAACATTTCACTTTATACTTAAATCTTAACAACAACTTTTACATTTTCAGCTACTTTATTAAAAATTTTGTGCCAAAACCAAATGAGACACATAAAATAGAACGGAGGTAGTATAATATACAGTGGCGTAGCCAGAAGTCTATGGTTAAGGGAGCCAGTCTTTAAAAATTTTACATTGCAGGGACCAAAGTTTAAAATATCAACATATTTTTATAGATTAAAAGTATTTATACATAATATATACTTAATAATTTTTTCTTGCCCGGGCCAAGGCCCCCTCCAACTTCTCCCTGTCTCCGCCCCTGATAATATATTGAGGTAATATATTGTTAACCGGGTATTATTCTTTCATATTCTTATTGTACTTGAAGTATGCATAAATTAACTATTTATGTTTTGTTTTACATAGCGATGCCTACTATGCTAGCTAGACCTTACATATAGAAAACTCTCAACCATCTAACTTATTTTTCTCTCTTTCCGGTTATCCAAGTCTTCCTTCTTATATTTTACTTGGTAACTTTAATATTAGTTTATGCAAATAAACGGCAGATAGTACAACGATATGATACAACTGATAATCATATTAACATAAAGATATGGCCTAGTTGATGGGGTTTGTGCATAAATTTAAGATATCACATTATCACCATTGTATGTCATCATCAACACCTTAATACAGGATGGCCCGCCCAAAAATAGAGCTTGTCAAATGTCAACCCAAAATATTATGCCATGCACTTTCACACTCATTGGGGTGTTTGGTAAACGGCGTTTCAACTGAAAAATGACTATTTGATCGCATTAGCGTTTTTAATAAGTGAAAAGGCTGTTTTGTAAATAACTATTTGACACTAGCATTTTTAGATGGAAACGCTGAAATGAAAACGCTTCTAATAGAGAGTTTTGGGTTGGCGTTTTGATAAATGGTATGTTCTACTAATTTTATAGCTAATTTATTCCGCTAGTCAAACACTCAAATCCGCTGACCGAATCCGCTATTGATAACTCGCTAACTTAACCCGCTATCTGATAATCGCTAACCGTTGAATGTTAAACACGCCCATTAACAAAATTGTTTTTGTCGATTCTTGACATTTTTTGTTCAAGAATTTAATAAGGCCAATTAATTTCTGCCTTTTACGATTTTCTTTAACCGGCACATACTTTTCTTAAGTTGATCCCTACGATTATGACACCCTATTTGACATTTACTATCTTGTAATTATATTGATTTCATATATGGAAAGAATTCAAACTTTGTATATACAAGGTGTTTAATAAATTAGAGTGCTGAATACACTTTAAATAGAGAACTTGTAATCAACACTCTAATTTATTAATCACCTTGAATATAAGTAGTTTGAATTCTTTCTATGGGTATGTTTGACGCGACTAGTTGAAAATATATTTTTGTGAGCTTTTTAATAAATGTTACTCCCTCCGTCCCCCTAATATTGGTACGGAAGGGGTTGTGTGGTTTTTAAGAAAAGTAGAATTATGTGGTTGGTAATGAGTTGATAAAGTGTAAATAAAGTAAGAATGAATTAGAGTCACACAAATGTTACCAAATATGGTATGGGACAATAATAAAGGGACATCCAAAAATGGAAAAATGGAACAATTATAGGGGGGCGGAGGGAGTAGTTTTTAGTGACTGAAAAGATCTTAAAAAGAAAAGGTGGTAGTTGTTTAGTAAAAAGCCGACTGTTTTGATTTAGTTCTGTTTGGTATACAAGCTATTAGGACAAATTAATACTAAAAGTCACGGTCTTTTGATCTAGTAGCTTTCTTAGATGCTACTCCCCGTAGCATCTTAAAAAAGATCTTTTATTTTTTTAATAGCTATTAAAAAAAATCTTGCCAAACATACAACTAAAATCTTTTAGAGACTTTTTAAATAATACGAAAGCTAGAAGGCATAGACTTATGTCTGCCAAACATGCACTATATATGAATCTAAATAATTGCAAGATCATAAATGCCAAATATAGCAGTGTCATAATTATAGGGATGTGATTAAAAAAGGTCTTTTCATGAATATTTCTAAATCAAATTCAAAAGACAAAAATATGGTTTAATTTTAAAAAATTCAAAAAAGTGACATATTTAGTGACTAGTTCGATGATAATGCCTTAAGAATTATTATTCTCATAGAAACACTGTACTTAAGAAAACCTTAAGGGTCAATCTGGGTCTAAAACATACTCCCTCCGTCCCTAATAACTTTGCCAAGTTTGACCGACACGAAGATTAATAAAGTAAAAACTGTGTGGTTGAGGTTTGTACAGAGGAGAGAGAATTAACTGAAATCACAAATATTTTACTTAAAAAGGAAAATGGCAAAGTTAGTGGGACATTGGCAAAGTTATAAGGGACGGAAGGAGTATACTGTACTACCTATTTGAGAAATTGAGGCGCATTGTCCATTTTGCAACTCGTTAAACAAGAATGTTTTTAATTGGACTATATTTTCTAGTCTAATCTGGTTTGATCTGGTCTGGTCTGATCTGGTAGATGTTTGGTCTCTGTGTATTTTATAACTATTCAAATCTGATCAGGTCTGATTTGATTTGGTTTGATTTGATCTGGTATGTTCTGGTCTGGGATCGAAAACAATCTAAATAAAAACATCCTAAATGAATGAGTTTTTTATGACTAATAGAAATACTTAGAATTGGTTTATTAAAAATTTGCCAGCTATCTTATGTTAATTAAGTCGTCCTCCTTAAGTCCATTTAGCATTACTGTTTTGTTCAATATTTTAGCCAAATATATTCAATGTGTCCCATAGACTAAAAACTCCGTATATAAATAGTACGTATGCAGCTGCTGGTTTGATTATATATGTAGAGCCTTAAGAAATTAAATTACACTGAGAATTGTTTAATCGGTGAATAGAGTGATGGATATGGATATCATAGCCATTCCCCTCCCTTATCAAGGTCACATAAACCCTATGCTTCGTTTTTGCGGCTGCTTATCTGCTAGAGGCCTCAAAGTCACCTTAGTCCTCACCCATGGCGTCGCCAAATCCATGCTTTCCTCACTCTCCGGCGCAACCGTGGAGCTCATTTCCGACGGCACCGACTCCGCTGACCCCCCGCGCACCTTCGGAGAATACGTCACGAGGATGCGGGCCGCGATCTCCGAGGGGGTCGCGGGGGTCATTGAGAAGAAAAAGAAGAGTGGGTGCGCCGCCGCTGGCGGCGCAGTTGTGGTGTACGACTCCTTCATGCCGTGGCTGATGGAGGTGGGAAGGGCGGGCGGGCTGCGGGTGGCGGCGTTTTTCACCCAAATGGCGTCTGTGTGTAGCATCCATTATCAGAATATGCTGGAAAGGGAGCGGGATTGCAAGAGTTCGGAGGGGGTGTGTCTGCCGTGTTTGCCGGTGATGGATTCCGGCGACCTGCCGTCATATTCCTACTTCGGAGATATTGCAGAAGAAGTTGCCGTGTTTGCGGGAAACCAGGCCTCCAATATGCACGAAGCTGACTGGTGTTTGTTCAACACATTTGACGCCTTGGAACATGAGGTACGTTTTTTTTACAATTTATTGTTCTTTTATTTACTTATTTATTCATGTATGATAAAATTCTGAAAATTTCCGTACGAATATTTTGAAATTACAAAATAGTTTCCTCCGTTCTTTTTTAATTGCAATGGTCCACTTTGCACGTTTGCCAACGTACAAATTTGACCATTAATATCTTTCATTCCGTATGAGTAAAAAATTAAAAAAATTAGATTACGAAAATTTAAAGTGAAAGGAATTTAACAATATTTTTTTAAATTTAATTTATAATACATTAATTAATAAAATAGAGTCAAAGTTGAACATGTGAATAGTGTAAAAAGTCCAACGTTTCATTTAAAAGAGAACGGAGGTATACGTTTTTACTATGTTTTGATTCTCTAAATATGACAAATTGCTATCAAACATGAAAAATAACGACTTATTTAAAATCTTATCGGGGTTTAAATATAATAATATTTTTCATGTTTGATAGCAATTAATCCTATTTAATTATGATAATAGCAAACTATGACACTAATTACCAACATTATACTTGTAATTTGATATTAAAAACACAATACTTGTAATTTGATCACAAACATTTATTTATGCCAAGAGAACAATAAAGCATTTTCATAATTTACACCCAGCCTTGTCACTTAGAGAGCATGAGAGGGGTTTATAACTTGTCCTACTTGAATCAAATATATAATCGAAATAAAACTAGTGAATAAATGTGTCTCTGATAACTTTAATGACTACCACGTATAATTATATTCAAATGTCACAAGTCATTGATTATAAAACTTACTTCGTAACTTATACTCACATTTTTATCCATATATTTTTCATTAGTAGTATTTTCTATAAATCAATTATTTTGAAACGTTATTAATTATAGTGTTTAGATTAAACTGCTTAATTTATCCCAAACTGATCGTGTCGACTTTGCTCTACCATTATTCGAATTTAATCTTCTTTCCATTAATAAATTTGTTTTTATATATGGTAATTTGATAGTTTTAATTTCTATAATTATTTGAGTTTTGTAGTGAAACGAGTCTATTTCATTCCGCTAAGATTTCAATATAGTAACTTTTACCCAGCTCCACATAATACTCCTTAAATCAAACAAAAAATTTCATTTTGAGTTTGTTCTTGTGAACACAACCTTAACTGAAAACATGAGTTACCTACTCAATCAGCCAAAAAAATAACTTAATCATCAAATTGTGATACAATAAGCCTTCCCGCTAAGAACCCCATTTTTTAAAAGATTTAAGAACCCCATTAAAAAGTTTTTTTACACCCAACATGACTTAAATGTATATGCCAAATTGCCCATAAGTAACATTGATCATTGAGAACATAAACTAACAATATCACTCAAATGATTATTTTACTCAATTCATATTATTTCGTCACATAAAATAAATAATTGCGTATGCAAATATCACATACTCAGTATATAATTAATCCAGACAAATTAAACATTTTTAACTAGACAATACTTAATATATTCATCCTCCTAGCTAGCTAGCTAGCTAGCTAGTTCTTAGTGCAAGTTTTTAGGCACGATTGATGTTTCCATTATGGGTTAATCTCCTTTTAAGTCCAACTTCACTGTTGAAATAAGACCGCATTTGTTCTCAATAAGATCGCATTTGTTGAAATTGGAAAATATTTGCTACTACAAAATTAAATACAATGCCGTAGTACTGTAATGCATGCCCATTCATTTACTAATTGAAGTTGTCTGATAACCAATTAATAAAAATTAACGGGTATTGAAATATAAGTCCAGCCCCAATTCAAATCCCAACATTATCTTTTCAGCTTGAGCAGATTGTGCCCAAAATAACCATAATGGATCCGGAATAATAAATATCACACCAACATAGTATATGCTCCTATTGACCGATACAGCAAAAAGGGTAATCTTTTTCAAGGCTGCCTCTTTCACTTGTCTCTCTATATTTAATAAGGACTAACTTTCATCAACTTATTTGAAGTAACTAAGGTGTTGTTTGTAGCCAATCCGCTGGAAATACCCGCGTTTTCCTTCATTAAAACAATGGCGGTTTGGCCAATCCGTTGCTATCCAAACACCACCTAAGTCATTTTTTGTCACGTAGCTAACACTTCATTTTATAAGTTTGTTAGGACTTGAGGTTCCATCCTAAAAGATCAATCTGATAGGAGGAGTAGCTCAAAGCCTTATATAGTGATTTATTGTTTTATAGTTTTCCTGTGAGACAAATAATCTAACATGATATAATGTATGACGTAAGTAATAAGTGAATATGACGTTATTTTAAAAAAATTGAGAATATAAATAATACTTCGTACTTCGTAATACGTATCAAATTCTACTAATTTTAAGTGTCCATAATATATTAAATTAAAGGTATTTCAGTAGTGTCTAATATTTGAACTTTCATTATCCATAGAGTTTCTTGACCTCACGACATGTACTCGCAAATTGACGAAATTCCAAACGTCAGATTTTGAGTTAGGTACTAATGCATTTAACATAACCGCAAGTAGAAGTTTCATAAATTATATAGAGACGAGCATATTAAACGCTATTTAAAAAGTTGAAGCGCAACTAATTATGGGAACCATTATAAGAGTCATATGCAAGATTTTTACAGGAAGTAGTGTCACTAGCTAGCTAAAGGCGGACACGCATGAAATTTGTCAACAAAACCTTCATAATTGTAACAAACATGTACAATTGTGAGTAAATAATTTCCTCATCGTTGAATTCAAAGTTGTGGTTGAGATTAATGGTTTTTCTATTTATCGAACTTATCAGTCATCTTTCTTTTTAGCAGATATGAACTTTTGATTTCGCACACAGAATTATACGTAATGTAATAATCAAAATAAGTAAAAATATACTACTAATTACTTTCTTGATTGAATTTACTGAAATTACTGTAGAGGTTCATTTTAACTATTTTCCATATAATTTTTTCTTTATTTATTATTAAAATATGCGTGGTAGTTTGAAACTAATATCCTTCGTTCCATTGTAATCGCAACATGTTTAATTTTACACTATTCACATGCTCTACTTTGACTACATTTTACGCTATTATTTTATGAAAATTTTATTTTTTTAAAAAAAATAGTGTTCAATTCATCTCATTACAAATGTTCAAAATCTGATTTTTAATATTTTTTACTAATAGAATTAACATATAATTACGATCAAAGATGTGTGTCGACAAATATGAAATGTTGACCGTTGTAACTAAAAAAGAATGAAGGAGTATTAAATAATATTGAGAAGTACTCCGTAGTGAATATGATTATCGTGTATCAGCTCTATTGTACGTCTTATCATTAGAAGTTTTGTCGCTTTGTCTCGATATGTCTGATGTACACTGCACTTGCTCATTTAGTACCAACGTTTTTTCCTCAAAAGACCGAACAGATAAATAAGGTCTTACTTTACATAACTCCACAGAGTATTCCAATTCATTGGTGGATGACACCTATTTCATGTTTCCAACCATATTAATTACTCCTGACTTTACTAAATTATTTACGTAGTATTAAACAAGAAAGGCTTTACTTCCTAGGAACACAGCTGTTTCAGCTAGACCAAATTCTCAACAAATACATGGATAGGTTTAGGACTTAGGAGCATATAGATATTATACTCGTATTTTATAGAGAAAGTTTCCAAAATAGGACTAAAACATTTTCAAAATTTCAAAATAGGACTGTCATATTATTTATTCCCAAAAAATGACTAATTAATGTCATGTTTAGAAAATACTGCCATTTTTGAAGTCTGGTACTGCCAAAACATTGCAGTAATTAGTTCTATTTTGATAATAAAAATATGGCAGTCCTATTTTGAAATTTTAAAACTGTTTTAGTCTCATTTCGGGTAATATCTCTATTTTATAATACAGACATGTATATATTAGGTTCTTGAATTGGTGGTGCGAAACATAATCAAAATCAGAAAGAATCCACATATATTTATGAGCCCTCTAAACAAATTTCTGGTTCTACACTAATTGTCTAATTGTGAGAAGTTGTTTTGTACTATGTATAATAGGACTAAGTATTAATTAAAAAAAGTAGTAATATAAAAATCAAATTGTAGAAGTTATTAAAAGGATTTAAAGGGAAAACTATTAATGGGGCTGAGGAGTAATTAGTTGAGTCCATAAAGTATTTGAAGTTTGGTCAATCCATATTGATTACAATATGACAAATAAAAAACATATTTTTTTCTTGAAAAGTTATGTGCCTGTTGACAATTTCGTTGCTGGAACGTCGATCCGACACTTTGCCGCCATTCCGAGCATGCGTTTTGAAATTGTAGCCCTTTTCTCATTACCTTTATCAATATAAAAGTTTTTTTAAGATTTTAGTGCCTACATCAAGTCTCGACATCCAACAAAGATGGCATAGCATTCTGTATTTATTCTTTCCACACTTCCACAAATATTTCATAAACAAAAATTCCTTTTGTACACTTGTTTATATACATCAGTACACCCCATGTCTGTGAGAGTTTTTTTTGTCTGTTAATCTCAGTCCACAGACAAAAAGTGGCTTGTTTTGTCTGTAGAATTTTTTCACAGACAAAACAAACTAGTTTTTGTCTGTGGAGTGAGATTCACAGACAAAAAAAAACCTTTCACAAACACAGGAGTGTACTGATGTGTATAAGAAAATGTACACTAAGAATTGTTTCATAAATTCAACTAATGTCTCCATGAATATAAACAAATTGTTTATTCAGCACCGATATTCAGTCTCAGACTAGACCAGACTTAAACATGACATATCAGACTTAAATAAATTAGACCAGATCAGACCAAACCTCGACAATTATAAAATACACAAACAATTACCAAACCAGATCAGTCTGGACCAGAAAACTTCATCCATGTAAAAACATCCTAAGTTTGTTTCATGTTTTAAAACTGAACGATTGATATTTATAGAAAAATAAGAGTAAAATTATATGTGTATTATAGCATTCACTGTTTGGTATCATAGCATTCACTGTTCAATTGGAATATTGCAATTTACTAATTTAAGTATAAATAAATAATGATGAAATAATGATTTGGATCAGTCAAATGGATGATAGGTATCATAGCATTCACTGTTTAATTAGTGTATTATTATTACCTGTAAAACTTATGCTCCATTAGTATATTCTCAAAAGAGATATTGTCTTATACTTTACCCTGCAACAGATAGTGAAGCATATGGGAGCAAAATGGGCTGTGAAGACCGTAGGACCCTTGGTTCCAACACCCTCCAAGAGATTGATGGATGTGAAACGTGATAGAATTGACCTGTTCAAGTTAGACAATGAAGTTTACATAAAATGGCTAGACAGCAGAGAACCAAAGTCGGTGGTTTATGTATCATTTGGGAGCCTAATTGTCTTGTCGGAAGAGCAGATGGAGGAAATAGCAATGGGTTTGGCTCAATCCAAGAAAAGTTTCATATGGGTTGTTAGGGAATCTGAAGTGTCCAAACTTCCAAAAGATTTCAAGTCAAAGACTTGGGAGAAAGGTATCATCTTGCAATGGTGTCATCAGGTTGAGGTCTTGTCACACCATGCAATCGCATGCTTCATGACGCATTGCGGATGGAACTCGACGATCGAAGCACTTACATTGGGCGTGCCGATGGTGGGCATTCCCCAACATGATGATCAACTAACCAATGCAAAATTTATGGAGGATGTTTGGCAAGTCGGGATCCGGATCAAGACTAGCGAGACAAAACTCGTGACGAGACATCAGATCAGTGGATCCATAAAGCAAGCAACTGAGGGAGCAAAAGCCAATGAATTGCAGAGAAATGCAGCTAAGTGGAAACGGTTAGCAGAAGAGGCAACATGTGAAGGAGGAAGTTCTGATGTGAATATAAGAGATTTTATCTCACATATGGCTTTTGATGAGTCAAATACCAAGTAGTCGCAACACTTTGCCAAACAATTCTCAAATTATTGTGTGATGTTAAAGGGAGATTAAATATTGACACTTCGAGAAGGCATTCCTATATGACATACATTCACTAGATGATGATCAGATACCTTACTTTTCATCACCAAATGAATGTGTGTTGCATGAAAGCATATCCTTGAAGTGTCCACGTTTAATGTTCTCTACATATTTCCTTTAGATTTAGAACCAGCTAAAAAAGTTTATATACTGTGTTCAAAATTTGCATATAGATTAATGCAGCAATCTTAATTCTTATACGTTCCAACTAATTTTCCCAACTGTATTTTAGTAACTGCACTAAAACGTAGGTCCATATTAAATAAACACCATACACCAGTGTCTGTTAAATACCCTAGTCATGAAATAAAGAGATTAATACGGAGTAACAATTTCATTTGCTACTTGCCAGTGCCCTTCTCAGATTTATTTTCACTTCTATTTTAAGGCAATTATTTTGTTGTTGATATTGTTTTTCTGCTTTAGGCAAATATGAATCACATATCTGTGTCAAATAATAAAAAGGAATTTGTGAAGTACACTGTTGCAACACAATCTTCTTCCAAAATCCAAACCACCAATTGTTAGCATGTTCTTGCATGCCTTCGCAGTATGTTACTATGTTTTTCAAATTTCTCAAAAGCCTGACGGTTCATGAAAAGATATTCTATTCTAAAATTGTATTTTCATCTAGCATTTCAGCTCTTAGACTGTCTCCATGAAACTTAAGAATTTCACTCAGTACTTCAATGAGTAGTATATGACTGATTAGTTACATGAGGGCCATGAGGCAAATACAGTCTCGAGTACTCCCTAAATCCAAAAAAAAAACTATGAACCCCAATTTTCATGAAACTTGGAACAGAAAATATAGTACAAATCTGATGAATTTTGCTGAACTATAGAACAGTTTTAAGAAAGAATATAGGGAATATAAAAGGCGCAAAATGCACTAATTCTTGGTAATATGAAAGAAATACTGACTAATATATATTACTAAAAAAGAGTTATGGACAACAATGTAACCTACTTAATGCTTTAATGCAAAGTGACTATATTTGACCGGTGTAGTGGGCTATAATGGTGCTCAAAGTGACCATTTAGTTATATTTATGTCTACAATATGATTTAAAGTAATATTTTGGGTAAACCCTCAATATGAAACCAGAGAATCTAATCTCTATAAGCACCAAACCTTGGCACAGATAAAACAGTAGCCAGAAGTATTAATTACATGACTAAACTATTTCATATTACTACATGCCACCTGACCTCATATCTTCTACACGGCTTCCCAATTTGACTATGTCTTCCACAAGAATTTTCCCATCTGCATATGTACAAAAAGGTGAGAATACAACTATACTATTTCCATGGAAATACATCAATAGCAAAATTATGATATTGTGCTAGCTAGCATTCAGAAACATATTTTTGATTTTTCTATACCTTTTTTCGGGCAGGAAATGGGGCTAATATAAATGGTCTGAAAATACAACAATGCTAAACTCCCAATTGCAATATAGAAATAATACCCTTGCAAAAGGATATGTAAACACAAACATGTGCAGGCAATAGGGAGCTATTTTGACATAAAGACATTAGAGGAATAAGAAAAAACCTGCATCTTTGGAGAGGTTGGTAATGAAATCTTGAATCCCTTCTTTTCCCAGAGTATTCTTCAGGTACATTGCGGCAGCGGCCACCTCTTCAGGAGTCACTTTCCCGTCATAGTCCCTGTACATGTGAGAGCATTATCAATCTACATATACAGCGAGATCACTGGGATGAATCAAGGTAAAATGTTACAATCACAACAAACATAGTTTTAGGGTTGTTTGGTTGTGCTGGGGGGAGTAGGAGGATTCAGTTTTATCTATCTCTTTGTCATGCATTGAAAAATAATTGGAGTATACTTTTAGTTAAATCGTGTGTTTTAATTTGATTTCACATCTTCACTATATCGCCAACCATCTTAAGCGAGAATGAATTATAAATAAAGTACATATAACCCGCTCTCTATCCCTTCCCTTCAAAATCCACCAACCAAACAAGGGCTTTGCACCTAAACAAAATAATTTTATGCTGATTTCTATTTTACCTATCAAAGATCAATAACCAAAGCCTATCTTTTGTTAAATCGCTTTTTCTATATAATATCAAGTCCTCGCTTTATTTCCAACTATCTCAAGCAAGGAAAAAATAAAATAAATAAATATTGTTCTTCCCTCCCCTTCCCCCTACAAAATCCCCAACCAAATATGGGCTTAGTGCCTATTCAAAATAATTTTATGCTACTTCATATTTTACCTGTCAAGGATTTGCCAACGGTCACCAATTTTTGCATCTACGTCATCAATTTCCTTCTCAAGGTTCTGAAGCATTGAGTCAACCTGAACCAGACCGAACGAACAGCCATAAGTTTTGTGTTAAAGTAATACCACATCGCTGTGACTTGTGAGACATCTTTGCATTGGGTTTTCCTATGTTTATTTATTTTGGGGGATCTAAATAGATTTAGAAATTTCATATATAACAGAAAGCCTCACACCTTATCTACAAGAGCAGAAGACACTGCATCATGTGCAGTAACTTCAGAGACTGGATCACTTTCTTCACGAGCAGCTTTATATGCCTTCATGACATCTACTTCATTATCAGTACCTTCTTTTCCTACCATGCTATTGTAGAGTTCTATCTGTAATAACATAACATACTTTTGTGTAAGTATCGAACTAAAGACTGACCACTTCATATCCGAGCACACTAAATAAGATCTCATTGATCATAGAAAAGACGGCTTGCATGTTTATGGTCCAAAGTTAGTGTAAATGCAGTTAAGTGATTAATTAATTAATCAAACACTGGGTTTTACGCAAATATTTAAAACCACTGAAGTGGAGAGCAATGATCAGGATCTTTCGATTCAATAATATTTGATGATAAAAATGCCAATGAACTTGAATGAGAATAGAGCAGTTACACATGGGCAAAACATATGTAAATGTACAAAAGAAATCATGAGTATTAGTTGCTCAGCGGGCAGGAACAAATGCAAGAGTCATCCTAATTTTCTAGCTTGTAATGCTAAATCACTTTTCTTTCCTCTCAAGTTCCAACACAGGGGTACATAAAAAGTACATTAAAACAGAGAATGGAAGTTCCAACTGTCATTATACAATCCATTTCACATAATGAAAAAGTAAACCAACAGAAGAAATCACAAACTGTTTCTTTTGGGAATGAAAAGACGGAATAAAGGTTGGCCATGTCTATTTATGAGACAAAGCTAATCCAATAGAGAGGCAAAATAGGTTTATATTTCTATTAACCTGGAGAATAGTGAACCTATCTTGCCTCTCTAGTCTCTATTGGATACTAGTATTTCCGACATCAACAAAACTTTAAACAAAATCATACCTCCTTATTAACAAGCCTTAGAAACTCTTCTCTCTCCCTGCTCACAGACTGAAAGTCTCATTTCACAAGACAAAGACATGTGAGAAAGCAAAATTACAACCTAAAAGCAGACTTAAACAGAGGTCAAACATGTGTTAATCCACTCACAGAGGCAGAAGCCAGGACAGCTAAGGCTTGGCTGATTTGACATAGATCCTCTTGTTTGTCAAGAGCTTTTGCTCTAGCTTGTTCTTGTGCTTCTCTAGCTGTTGGAATAATCATCTCTTTCAGAGCAATATCATCGTGACTACCAACAGATTCCTTCTTCTTGGTCTGCTCTTCTTCCTCTTTCTTTTCCTCTTCCTATGCCAGTTGAAATGTATAAATTAACAGTGATATTTATAAGAATTATAGATTTACATAACGAAGTACAAAGGGCTCAGAAAAATCATGATTTGTTCAAAATGGAAAATACATACAGATTTGGGGTTGAGTTAGTAAAATGGAAAGAGAAAGATGAGATAACAAAAGATAGCAGACAGAAAACAGGAAAGACAGCAGAGTTACTTTGGTCCACAGCCTCCACCCAAAGCATTGTTGCATGCATTAGTTAAAAAATTAGTATACTGGAGCCAATGTTGTGGGACTTGAATGTCAAAAGAGGAATTTAAAAAACAGAATCTTATATGTGTCAAAATACAAGTTGAGTTCGACAAGTTATTAGAAGAGCCAGTCAACTCATGTTGATAGCAAAATCTTTTTCATGATAGCTTGTGATTTATTTTGTAAATATATGGTATTGCAAAATAAGAAAATACGTAGAAAATACAGAAAAGCGCACCTATGGTTACTAAAAAACAAAATTTTCAACCCAATTGAGAAAGCTGGTGGTTGGAGTTTAGTGGTAAACACACAAAATTTGAAGTTGGGCTTAATGTACACTTCATTCAATAAAAATTGGAAGAATACTGTTGTGTGCATGAGGATCATGAAGCTTATTGTGGGTAGCAACATGAAAATTAATCATGTTGAAAAAGAAGGTATTTGTGCAGAAAATTGACTAAATCGATAAATCTTCTCCAGAAGCTAGATTGAGATCTACTAAATGGAGGAATCTCCCAATAGAGTGCAAGAAGGGTGGCATCCTAACCGAAGATAGAGGGTATTAGTTATCTTTGTTGGTAAGCTTTGTAGTTTTGATCTAATTTCGGTGTGGATGTGTTTTTGTTGATCTGTTTTTATATCTGTTGGAGGGTATGCCGCCTCGCGAGAGTTTGTTTGGTCCCACCCCCCACCTTTTGTATCCTCGATTGTTTCTTTTAATTCGTGCCTTCGTGGGTTAGTTAAAACATGAAGTTGGATCTTTTGCAACCTATTCAGGCCCCTCTTAAGGATGAAAGTCAACCTGTCAAAACCAATTGTTAAATTGGCCCAGTGAAACAGCCTTATCATAGTTAGGGGTGTCAAATGGATGGGTTGGATAATTTTTTTTAGGGTTACAATGGATGGATTAAAAACAATGAATGATCCATTTATGATCCACTGAAAAATCATTAGAAATCTATTCAATCAACTAGTTAACCCATTTTTATCTTTTACAAATGAACATCTTGTGTCCATTTTCTTAGTGGAACTTAATATGTTGAGATAATTGAAGAATGCATATATGAATACTTCAGAAGATAAAATAACGTACCTATATAAGCATTAATGCACAGGGAAAATCCAAAGGGCACAATGAACTCATAAGATTTTTATGTGATCCAATTGATTAGAAACAAAGGATGAAGCACCAACCACTCCTTGAGTAAAAATTGATGGAGTAATTTATATTAATAATTTTAGAGGGTAGACCGGGTGGTTTCAATTTTTTATATCCTGGTGGTGGAACAAAAAAATCACCATCCCCATGGTCGTTTAATCTATATCGGGAGGTCACAACAATTTGGAGAATATAACCAAACAGGTAGAGAACAAGGTCT